TCAGGTAAGATGAAAATACTATAGACACGATTCTATAAAAATTACTTTAAGCTTTATACTATAAAGCTAAATTTGTGTGACACTAGACTGTAAGCATAATCAGAATCGGGCCCAGAATCCCCCAAAATGCCTAGTACCAGTGCCCTTGCACATGGAATCTATGAATATTGATTGAGTAGTTCTGTTTGATCATCCACCGATTTCAGGAAAACATGTCACTGTTAAGAGAATTCTTCCTGAAGCAAATAAGTGAAATGTCATAAAATGGAAGTAATAACCTTTATTAAAATTTCAAGGTCACTTATGGTTGTGCTGTTACAAAATTATTCAATGTGCTTATAAAGTCCTTTCATATTCCAAAATCTTTTAAATGCAGAAAAGTTTTTAATGGTGATATAAGCATGAAGGAGATATCCAAGATTTTGCTTTTTAGAATGGTTTATAACATATTCCTAGTAAATCATAAGTTAATAGGTTGTCAGTAAGTCATAAGACAGTTTTAACTTTCAGTTTACTCTCGTAGAGCAACAGTGGGTAACAGCTTTTAGAAGTGGAGAACCTAACAATAAATGCTCAGTATTATTTGGAAGCAAAATAAAAAAAGCTCAAAAGTTTCAGAAGTTAGTTTCCAGAGTATAACACACAATTAACTACCTAAGAATCTTCAGCCTTGCCTGGCAGGTTGCTGTGTCAAATTCAAGGTGGATGGGCGAAGATGGAGGCAGCTTCATTTTTTAAATTGACTTTGAAAGTCTTAATGATATATGTACATTTCATGAAAATATGAGCCTTGGTATAATGGTCTGTTCTCTTTAGACAGATGGGACTCAATTTATGTTCTACATGATTGTACCCCAGAATTTCATACTTAAGATGTTTGTCATAAATACAGTTAATCTATTATTTTATGAGGGATACTAAATCTCGGCCTCCTGGATTTGGATAGATGTCTGCCAAATTTATGATTGTGCCTCTCTATAAATGACAGATGCTGCCAAAGTGGAAAACTATCATTTTTTTCCTACTCAACAGCACAAGGTCCTGTTGTTGGAGACAGAAAGGGGGAAAGAGGCAGTTACGAAGACCTTGCTAGCTAATCGATGGAGTCCTGGGGCAGTCAGCGGAAATGAGAAGTTGTCATTTGGAAAACTTGGCCCCATTTGTAACAACACACAAAAAAATGCAAAACACACAGGGGAACCCATAAAAATAACGAGGCGAGGGTCTGCATTTGTATCCTTGGCAGAAAAACTCTTGGACAAAATTGAAAGTGCTCTTTCATAAGGCAACAGGGTGATTGTAAAAAGCTGAACTGCAGCCTTCCCAGGCGAATCATACTGATTCACTAGTTGATAACTGCTCTGGGTTCACACCCAAGAGATTGCCACCAGGCAGAAGGATAGTATACTGAACACTGAAATGGGCTGTTTTGAGGTATCCTGTCCTCTTCCTCCTTCTGTCTTTTCTGACATTGTCATCTCACAGTCTGCACAGTATGGTCATGGGTGTGGGATAAATAAAACGATCTCCATGTCCCCAGTGGGAATATTTTAGATGGACTGATTCAAAAGGCTACTGAAAATTTGAACAGTGTTTAGGACAACACAACTGGATACCCTGGGAGGCCGTTTAAGGCTCCTGCCATATTGGGGATGCCCCTCCCAGTGTTGACCTCTGTCTCAGTCAGAATATTTGGCTTAGCCACATAACATCTACAATTGACAAGCTGGAGCTTTGAGAACATTTGTCATTTACCTCAAATGAGTGTTTTCATTCAAACTTGTCCTTGAAAGGATCTGTGAGTTCTAAAGCTTTGCTCTATTAGTTAAATGCTACAGACAACATACTGCATAGGAACGAAAGATTATCAATAAAACAAAGCCTTAATGGCCCTTTCAATGCCATAGCTCCTACTGAAAAATATCAACAGTCAGCAAGTAATTTATAAGTAATACATGTTCCTACTCACTAATTCTTTAAAAAGTGGTCTGACTTTGCCCATTGGGATACTCGTATTTTCTCCCCCAAATCAGAGAGATGTTTAGAAGTAATGGGAAAATGGAAAATGCATGGAACAGGGAGCTCTGGGTTCCTGCTCTGACTCTCCTTGGCTATGAGTTATGAACCTCAAACAGGCCACTTAATTCTTCCAAGACCCCAGGTTCTTCACTGCTACCATATTTTTGGGAGCAACTTGAAGGTGATAACTATTTTTTTTTTTTTGTATTCCAAATATCCAACACAATAAAAACACACACGCTAGGTTAGAAGTTCTTTGATGGCAAGAAAATATCTTTCTGTTCACTGTTAAACCCCTGAATCTGGCAAAATATACAGATATACTATACTATGTAGTGTAGTAATATCTGTTTGTTCAGTGAGTAAATGGATATAAAGTTTGTAGTATGAATCGGTGAAAGATGAGTGCTAATTTCAGCCCTACCAGTTACAGGGTTGGTGAGAGGGTCATATGAAAACATATACGTGACTGGATTTTATAAACAGAACAAATTTAAGGTGTTCCTACTGTTGTATTTCAAGCAGAACATGCTGGTTTCATCATCTTTGCTCTTAACTGCATTTGTAAAAATATCTGTAGTATTTTAATCATTCCATTGGCTTTTGTTTATTTAGACAGCAACTGATTAAAGGCTGTTTAGCTCTAAAGAGCTTTATACACTTTGAAGAACTAGAAATGTATTTTTCCCCCAGCTTGGTATCTAATTAATTTTTAAAAAAATATCTACTGCTAAAGACTAGACATATGGACCATTAGGTTATCACAATATTTTATTATTTTCGAGAAAAAAGGTTTTTCCAAGGCACTTCTTTTGAACTTGTTATGAGTGGTTAAGTGCTGTCACAAAAGAACATTCAATTTGATGTATGGGGCGTATTATCACAGGGAGGTGTATTGTCATATGGCATTATGACACTTGAACTCCAGGGAGAAATTTGGGTAAAGTGTCTGGCCAATATGTTCTCACCATCTTCCTAAAGCTGCCTAATGCTTGCTGTGTTTTGACCCCAATTCTCCCAAAGCACATTTCTCCTCCCTTCCATGTTTTGAACTCCCATTAATGTGTCATTAAAAGTTGGGATAGATCCTTGGAGACCATAAAGTCATTTCTTTGGATTTTACATTTAATTCTACCCAACTTCTAAAAAGTGAATAGGACAGCTGTTCTTACTTAACTGCATTTAATGAAACATATTTTTTTCCTAATCAAGTGCATAATTCAGGTAATAAAATATTTGACAAAGTATTGTTTCATAGAACCAACAATATCCTATAAAAAAGAAAACCAGGCAGGAAATCAGGAGATGATGAATCCTGTTCTTCCAAACACTGGGCAACCTCTAGCAAATAACTACCACAATGGGGTCTGGACTCAGTTTGCTATTTTTTAAACTGGAGATAACATTTCCTAATATCTGATCAATCTGGGTTAAAAATTCATTAGATAATATGTGTAAAAGGCTCTGTTCTTTAAAAAGGAAGAAGTGTGATATAATCAGTATTTATTTATTATCTATCCATTAGATAACATAATTCAGTGATTCTATAACATAAAGAAAAAAAACCCTTTATTACCAAATTTGGGTTAGCTTACTCCTTCTAGGCTGCAGAGCTTTTGGAACCAGCATTGATGTGACCTAATTAATAATGGTCTCTTCTTACATAGTCTCTGTCTGACGAGGCTTTTCTGAACCTTCCTCTTACCGCAATGGATTTGTACTCTAAACGCCCTGGGCACCCACAGGAAAACATTCTAAGTCTCTTCCTTAAAACCTACAGTGATTTGAGCCCTTCCTGGCTGGTTGGCTCAGCTGGTTAGAGTGTCATCAAGATATGCCAAGGCTTCGGGTTCGATCCCTGGTCAGGGCACATACAAAAATCAACCAATGAATGCATAAATAAGTGGAACAATAAATCGATCTCTGTCTGTCTGTCTGTTTCCCTCCCTCTCTCAAATCAATAAATAATAATAAAAAAATCTATAATGACTTGAAGGGAATCAGAAGAGAAGTGTGTGTGTGTGTGTGTACGTGTGTGTGTGTGTGTATGTGTTTCCAACATCAGAGAGGTCCCTAAAGAGAGAGGCAAACAGAAAGGGATATATTCTCTTAGTCTCCTTTAATAGACACTGGTCCTCAACTACTCACTAAAACAAGATGACTCATCCATCTTGGGCCCTGAGGGGCAGATGCAAGTGCGTGAAAGCCTATTAAACATCCAATTTCATGGTGTACATGCTAGAAAAATGAATTTTTTCTCTTCTATTCTGAATCATTTAGTTTGAACTGACTCAGAAAATCTGCTGACTCACTGGGACTGTGAAATATAGACTCTTCTTAAAAGGTACTTCCACTAGTAGCCCATTTCTAACTCCAAAAGTTCTTCTGTTAGTTAATTCATTACTTTGTAAATAGTTCTCTTAAACTCGTTGAATTCATTTGTAACTCTGAGGGGAACTCTACAAAGATCTTCAAAAATCAAAATCTTTTGTTATTGAACACATTTTCAGATTCATTTAATTAACACCACTCTCTCAGAAAACACCGTTTTGCCCCTCCATTCCCCTTCATTGCAGTAAAGGAACACGAAAACATCTATTGTAGACAAGTTTAAAAATTCTTTCACTAAAAAAGTTTATAGTAAAAACCAAACATAAAATGAATATAACGGAATAATAAAGTCAGTATTTTAGATCCATTTCTTGATTTTTGTCTAAACACATTGTGACCGAGTAGCCCATATATACATATATATATATTACACACACATATATACTTAAATGTATATATTTAACAACATGGAATGGTAACATATCAAATGCGTAGATTCCATGCAAACACATAACCTCCTGTGAAGGAAACATATTAATATTATAAAAACAAATCATGGAGAAAACATGCAACGGCTGAGAGGAGGAGAGGGTTGGGGCAGGGGACCAGGAGGAACACAAAGAATGTAAAGAACAAAAAGGGTCATTGACCTGATTTGTCAGAGCTGTTGCCTGTGAGTGGAGTGATGGAGCAGCTGAGATTAGCCTTTGCGCTGTCCTTGGAAGGAACCATTTTGGGTTTATTTTTCGTTGCCTCTAGTGCTTTGACCTTCTTGGCATGTTTACTTCCTTTGTAGTGGGCCTCGGCCTGGCTCTACAAAGGAGAACAAATCAGGCTCATTTTTTTGCTACTTACAAACACCACAATGGATGGTCATGCAGGAAAAAATACATTCAATCATATGTAACATGGACATTTACCACTCAGCACTCAGCTATGTCTGGCATTTAATGACGTGGTAGAGCCGTATCTAAGACGTTTTTGCATATCGAAGCTTTCACTACAACACAGAGGACCTGTGTCTTTGAAAACCAGAGGACAACAGGGCCAGGGCAAAATTGTGATGAAGGTAGGCTTTGTCCTCAGTGCCTTCTACCGCTGTCCGTTGGGTGTCCTACCCAGGCATGTCCTTCCACAACCATTTCATTTTGCCTCCTTCAGCTGAAAACCTGCCTGCCCTGAACCCACTTTCTTCTGGACTGAGCTCTGAGAACAAGTGATGTAACAAAGCAACCTGCTAGTGAGTGGAGGTGGCACTGCATTTGGAAGTCATCTCCATGTGTTTCATGCAACTTTTTATTTTTCATGATCCCAGTTCTAACAATAGATGATGTAAACCACAAAGGGGACAGGGATGATCCTTGTTTCTGATCTCAGATGTGATTCTGAAGTCAAAGCAGTTATTGCTACATTCATACATACACAAGGCATGGGTACAACTGTGACTTCAGTATTAGGTCAAAAGGAAAAAAAGAGATCAAGACAAGTGACTACTAAAAACCTTTAAAAGACAAAAACAAGTTACAGCAAAACAAGAAAACATTTAGTCAACTTATTGACATTTGGAAAACTCCTCTCTGACTAAAGAACAAGGATTTTATTTTTTTGGCACCAAGTACTAATGTACATATTAATGAAAGAATAAGTATATTCACTTCGATTTCATTTTGAATGACCCTGAAAATATAAACATCCACTTGGTGAAAAAAAGTTTAACATACCTTATATGGCATATTAGCTTACTTTTAAAGATGAAATGGATGATAAAACCGTCATACAAAATGAGTTTTTGTGAGAGAATTTCTAAAGTAATAACTATTTTTACATCAATTCTCCATATATAACTGTATGTGTTGAAGATGATTATACCAATGTTTCCATTCAGTTTCCTCAGCAAGCACAATATAGGTGGTGTGTGTGCATGTTTGTGTGTGTATCTGTGCAGGTAGGTAGACAGAATTAACAATGGACAGAATGAGCCAGGTTATAATTCTATGTTTCAACAAAAGATATATGCATCATTTTCCTAGCATATAATCCCTCTCACCCAAGGTCAGTGCCCTTGTATTGACTGTACACAGTCCCTAACTTCCTGAATATCGATTTGTAACTGTTTTAGATCATCATTGACCTGTCATTGTTCTTAGTTGGTGTGCTCAGGAACTTCTCATTAGGTACTCTGTTGAGTTGGAAAAAATCCCAAGGGAGGAGAAAAGGAGTAACATTATTTTAAGTCTTATTTATTAGCAACCAAGAATGTTTAAATCCAGCTAATGTAGCTGGGTAGATATAAATTAAGAAAGTATACAAATAAAAATTTAAAAATTGATAATATGTAGTTATAATAATAATGACTAATAATATTAAGCCTTTGCCAAACATAGTTCTAAATGTATTGCATGTATTAGCTCATTTAATCATCATAACACCCTGTAAGGTAGGATTATTAGCACTTTACAAATAAAAAAGTGGGCACAGAGAGGTTAAATAACTTACCAGAAGTCACACAGGTAGGTGTAGAAGCCATTTTGCAGATTCAAATGCTTATGTGTGCATCCCTATTTAACTATATATCCATACACGATACATATACATACTCCCACTAATATCACATTATAACTTTATTAGAAGTAAAAACTACACAAAAAGAAAGCACACTTTTAGGTATATAACAATTTCACCTCCTCTTTCCAACTATACTAAATAGTGAGATGCTACATTAGCGTCCTTTGGCTAAAGGAGCTTATGGTTCTCAAAATAAAACCTCCTAGCACAAGATAAGCAGAGTGTCACTTCCTCACTACTATTTCCTGGCATCAGTGTAGAAAGTTAACAGCATCAATTAGCACTTGGGACAAAGATCCAACTAAGTGACACCTCGCTGGATGCCAAGATGGAAAGAACTGTCTCTCGCCATGATCCACCTTCCCTTTGAGTTCTGGGGCATGGAGAGAAGTGTAACAAGGGTTCTTAGCTTCTACTGATCATTGTTTGGGAAAGATCATGGAATAAAGACGGTGGCAGTCACCACTCACTCACTCACCCCTGGCATCCTCCCAATTCCCCTGCGATATTCTTGGTAGTAGCACTTTGCTATCCTTAGTACTGTATCTGAGGCAGTGTCAACAGCTTCTAAGTCCCTGGCAAATCTTCAAGAGAAACTGAGACGTGGTTAATTAGTAACATGATTAGCCTGACTTCATTATCTAGGAATCTCCTTATTTGGGAAGTGAGAGGAACAAGGACAAGAGCCAGAAAACCCATGAGTCAGGCAACTCAATCAAGCCCAGTCAACAGTGGCTCTTGTATCACTTCTAAGAGACCTGGTTGACCAAAATAATTTACTTTACACTTCAATGGCTAGTCAGCAGACACATATTTGTCTAGCACCAATGGCTTGCTTTCTGCTTCCCCGCCAAAAGTGCTACTGTGCCCCCAAACAGAGTGATAAAAAACACCTCTTGCCAAGAATTGCCAGAATTAGAGAGTTGCCTAAACCACCATTCTGACCTCCATACAACGTTCAGTGGTATCTAGAGTCTCCTCTCAGAGGTCACTCTGGTAACTACCCACCACCCACTGGTAGAGAAATAGCTTCCATTCTTCTCCATATTTGTTGCTAAAGCCATTCATTTCCCCAAATGCTCTACATCTTTCAGAACCCTATTGGGCCAAACAAAAGAGATAAATAATGAGATAATGTATTGCTTTAAAAATCAAAATGTAGTAATGAGAAATTCTAAAATTCACTGTGCTCTCATTTCTGGTTTTCACCTTATTTCTAATTTGTGCTTCAGAGAAGTGGCTAGGATCTTGAAACATGATGTTATAAATGTGTTCACTTTGTAGAGGAATTCATAAAGTGGTTGGGGAAGGTCAATGTCATCAGAGAAAGTCCTCAACTATTTATTTACCAATGAAATCAATGTCTTTTTTTTTTTTTGCATTTCAAAAAGTAATTAGAACTATCCCCTTAATTAAAGGAAGTTCATCATTAAAACTATTGACATCTTTTATTCTGAGACAGATTTCAATGTGTTAAGCAGTGTTATATGGGAAACGGCAGAGGTCAGTTAATTTTTAGAAAAACTCTATACACTAAAATGCCAAATATAGCAGATGTCAAGTGAACTAACATAAAAAGGAGCGAAACTAACAAGGGGAAAACCTAATTACTTATTCCACAAAGAATTATTTAGCACCTGCCGTGTGCTAGACATTGTGAAAGATTAAAAGCAAAGACCCCGACTTGCAAGAATGGGAGCTGGAAGGAAAGACATGCATGCAAATAACTAAAGCCCAAAGCCCAGAGTGCGCTGTAAAACGGGAGGTGCGGGGCAGCAAAGCGTTGTGGGCGTCAGAGCAGAGGCAAATCTCTTCAGATTGCAGGGGATCACGAAAGCTGCATAAAAAAGGGATGTGAGAGCTGTGCCCTGCTCTGGGGACAGAGCTCTGAAGTGGCAGTGTGGACGGGGAGGTATTTCAGGCAAAGGGAACAGAATGTGTGAGGGCCGTGAGGGCCCGTGAACTGCGCAATGTTCCCTAAGCACACCTGCTTTTCTGAGTCACTAGAACACAGAGAGATAAAAGGATCAACAGGGAAGGGCTGCTATGTTGTGCTACCTCAAAACTTATCTTCTGTAAAATGAAAGACATAACAGTTCTAAAATTTTTTAAAAAGTTATATTGTAGGCATCTTGTACAGATGGTTATGAAGAGGTTGCCTTTTTCTTTTGTTTTAGGCCAAGAGTCCATGAGATGCTCTGGGCAGACCCCCAGCCTGTTTGTGGGCTTGCTTCTTTTATTATTTTAAATATGTTTTTATTGATTTCAGAGAGAGGAAGGGAGAGTGAGACAGAAACATCAATGATGAGAGAGTCACCAACTGTCTGCCCCCTGCACAACCCCCAGCAGGAACCAAGCCCACGACCCAGGCATGTGCCCCAACTGGGAATCGAACCATGACCTCCTGGTTCATGGGTCAGTGCTCAACCACTGAGCCATGCTGCTGGGCAAAGATGTTGCTTTTACATCACAAATTTTATCCTGTGCTCTAAATTATAATCCAATATTAAAAGAACAAATTATTTATATTGAAGCTTTCATAATTATTTGAGATAAAAGCCTGGTATTTGAAATACTATAGTTAAACCTATTAAGAAACAAACTAAAGATTAGTGAGTAATAGCTAGATAATTACTTGAATCTTTTGTTAACATGAGACTGTTTCTAACTATTAAAATGCTCTTTGCTATACTTGTTGCACTGACAAGACTACACATTCTCAGAGACAAAGCTACAAACAAGATGCACTCAGGAGCAAGGCTTACTTAACCCAGAGCCTGCTAGTAAGTCTTTGTGCTGATATTTACAATGGTAAGGCCTGCAATATCAGTAACCACATACTCCTGGCTTTGATATTCACTTCACTCACTCTTTATCTACTGTGATGGGTTGAACAAGAAGTCTAGACAAAATTATAACCATTAGGAGATTTTTTAGCTTAAAAAGCTACAATTTCTTTGCTAATTTCTAATTTTTAGCTAAGTGAAACACTCCAGGTTTCCATGGCCTGTCCAGAGTCACTACACTGTGTAACTCTCTGGGGGTAGGGGGCACTCACATATATAATTCAGTGTGGATGGTGTCTTCTGACTCTTGCAAGGCCATCATTCTGGCTATGGCATGCCATATCTACTTGCTTTATGGTATACAGGGTGTCCCCCCAAAAATGTATACACACTTTAACAGCTGATAGCTCAATTTTGAAAATAAAATGTATTTTAATAAACACTGCCTTTATAATTATTCAA